CTTTATTTCAAACCGAGAAGGAATATTTATGCAACCAAAGTCGGAGCTGTAATTACTCTAGAGTGCGCACACACGCGCATTTCTGCAGTTCTGTTCTCAGAGTTGTTTTACCCGATGAAAAAGACTGCAAGTTCTACTACGTTATATTGACCGATGCCCTTTCAAACAAGGCATCTCAGTCTCACTGCAGAAAGGCTGGTTTTCTTTCAAAAAACATTCTCTCCTCTTTAATATCTGAGTCACGGTAAGGAAAATAGCAGTCTTTTCAACGCTACATTTTCGAGAACTTGCATACTTTCACTTTGGAGAAATCTATTCCACAAACTAGAAATTTAATTTCCCATGAGTCATCTGCTTTTTTCAATTCGTAAGTCATAAATATTAGTCCATAAAATACCTTGGTGTAAGTTGTATTGTCTGCAAATTGTGATAGTATCATCTCAGGATTTTTTAAGTCTATACTGGCCATTCCTACTTCACCTCTGGCAAGGCCTCTTCCTTCTACTACAGCTACAATAACCGATGCAATGGTATGAGCAGAGACAGTAGATGAGGATGTAGCTGTAAAAGAGTCGTATACATTYGGTTACATTCAATGCAGATCGATGAATGACCGATCGAGGAGCAGCACAAACAAYGGAGCGAGGATGAACAAACACACACATGGATGAAGGCCTAGGAACACTAAAGAATAACTGTAAATCCCACTACTTTTGCATTCTCAGAACACATATGATACATATAACACGGCACAAGGCATTATTGCCCTATAACACCAGGTTTATCATACAAAGGTCTGCAAAATATACCCCCCTAAGCTACTGTGTGCTTTTTAACAAAATAACATCATAAATGTAAGTTGGACTATTTCTTCTAAGAGCCGTTGATCTTACCCGAATATCCCATGAGAGGGGTACGGTTTCTGCAAACGGATCTACCAGAAGAGACAGGTGTTTTTCCTACACACGTGCTATTCAGGCCTCGTACAGAAGAAGAACTCGTGAGATTCAATGTGTTAGCATTTTCTACGCAAGAACTTTTGTCCCCAAAATATGATTCTGTGAGGGAAGAGAAATAATGAATGAAAACAGCCACCACAAATTTTTATTCAGAAAGCGGTATACAAACATACACCTCACACAACTTCCATTTTTTATCAGCAGAAATAGAGCTATCCAAACAAAATGTCATTTATAAAAGCTCTCCAGGGTATAAAATTAAATAAAAATCAGACTGCTTTGAAAACAAGCCCGCATTAATATGATTACTTTTTACAATGAGATTACCTGTGGTGCCAATAAAGAAAAAAATTAATCATTGAACTGAAATAATACAACAGAATACTACATATTTTATGTTACATAATATATTTACACATTTAATATTCGAATGTAACCTATATTTATGGAAGAATTCTAGAAATCCAATTCGTCTCATATTTGCCCATAATTTTAAAAATCATTACCTAAAACTGCACGTTTACGAAAACCTGTTTTAAAAGCTGAACATTCCTTTTAAAAAGAGGACAATAAAAGAAAACAAAGAACCTCTTGAGCACGATAACCCTTTGAATTTATGGAGATCGACTATCAGAAATTATACAATTATCTGGGATGTGTTTATGAATGGCAGTTTCTTTCATACATATATTAAGATCTACCGACGTTTTATAAGTTCTGCAAGATATCYCTGTCTCAGAACACTTTTAAAATTGCAAGAAATTATTTAAGTAATTTGTTTTCAATTCTCTTGAAATGACTGAAGACATCATTAATTTAGATAACTGCTCTTTAAGAAAAAAAAATTAAAATATAAAGTTCCACTTACAAAAGTCCATGTATTACAAATATATGCTTCTTATACGTGCTTCTTATATTACATTTAAAACTGACACCCAAAACGCAATACTTCAGTATTGCTTTTAGATGATCAATTAACTGCATGGCTATCACGGTTGGTCGATACAAAAAGATGTACGGTACTGGGGTTCTGGGATTCACTTGGGATTTTTGGAGGGTGAGGTGGGGTTTTCTTTGTGCATGTGCTTTGTTTTAATCTTAAAACTGTGACAAGCGATAAAAACATTAGTTCAGACTGTTCAGTTGGGGACCTTTTTAAGAGCGAACAAGTCAGCATTGCAATGCATATAGACGATTTTTAAAAAATAGCATTCACTTACATTTTGGCACAAGTTCGCTCAGAATTTTGGCAGAAGAGACTTCCCTTAGAAGGTACCAAATCWGGTGTAACAGAGGTAAACCAGCAATTTCAAAGACCAGATGAACCAAACCATATACAGGTATTTCTTAAACCAAACATTTAAGCCATGACCTATTCAAATTAGCATTCTGTTTGTTTGGGGGCTTTCTTGTCGGATTCCTCAGCGATCATATATATTACCCAAACGCCATTTTATCTAATTTCCAATTTATGCATAAACGAATTATATGTACTTCGGAATTCATTTCAGCAAGCGTTAAAATAATTTCCAACTCTTTCCATAGTTCTTCGTCTGAAAACGCCTCAATTTTAGCTTTTGTTTGCTGCCTGCCGGGATASGGACTTCGATAGTAGAATCGAGTCTTACAACCCACAGATGCACAGATCTTCGATGTGCAGTTGTTGAGGTGTGTCGTCCTCAGAAGAGGGGGACAGGAGATCGGTATTATCAGCTTTATGTAAAGGATGGCAAATAGCGGTTTGCATTGTAGGAGCACAACATTCTTCCCGCATATCGAGGATGACAAGCACTGAAAACTATTTCAAAGGCCAGGCAAAAAAAAAAAATAAAAACAATCCCAAAGTAGCAGTAACAACAAAACTCCCAAAACAACCAACAAATCAAATACAAATCCAAAACTCCTAACCAAGAAATATGCTTCAGGTGTACCCTGTGAAGCGAACATTGTGCGGCAATTCAAACACGTTTATTGAACCCACCAGGGAACTCAGCTACTACAAGCTAAAGCAAAGAGGGGAGATTTATTTAAAGAAGTGCAAGGAACGAATTCCATAGTTCTTCCAGGGTAAATTTAAAAAAAAAAAAAGGTCGCTATGACGGTCGCTGCTGCCCCATTTCAGAGAGAAACGCTTTTAACAGCTCTTTCGGAACCGCACCATAGCAAAGAGCAGTGGATAATGAAAGAGGTGAAGAGCCGGGCAGAGACCGTACCTCCCCTTTCGGAAATCGCCGGCTTCTCCGCGCTGCTCCCGGGGCCCCGGCCGGCAGCGAGGCCTTCCCCGCCGGAGCCACCCGGCTGTGCCCCGCCGCCGGAGTCGCCGACGGCGCTCTCCGAGCTGCGCGGCGTCTGCAGAAGCCCCAAAGTGTAGCGGGGCGTCTGCTCCGCCTGCCCGCCGACGCCTGGCGTGGAAGAGCCGCGTCCCGCGTAAGATTCCGAGGTGGCCGAGGCGGCGAGCGGGCCGCCCGCGCCCGCCATGGTGTCACCCCTCAGCAGCGCCCCCGGCTCGCGCGGCCCCGCTCCCACCCGGCAATGGCGGCGCGCGGGCCCTGCGGCGGGAGCGGCTGCCCGCACTGCGCGTGGGCCCGGCTAAGAGCTGTCGAGCTGCAGCTGGAAACGATAGGGCAGTAAACAGAGCTGCTGGCCGTGCAAACCGGTTTCATTAAAAGTAGGCAAGGGCCATAGGAACGCAAGAAAAGTGCCTGCTCTGCTCTTTAAAGCAAGAGTACTGCACTTCAACGTAATTTATCCCGCATTAATTCTTCAACATTCACCATGTAGCAGGAGCTGCACCAATGTTTTCTTCCCGCTCTCGAGTTTTGATACGAAAAGATCCCAGAAATAACTCCAAAGCTCGTTTACTTCTGCAGTTGTCTTGAACGCATGCTTCTAGGCATGTTTTAGAAAACTAACGTTGCTTTGTATATTAGCATCGTTTAATATACACCACTAAAACTCTTTCAATTAACGTTTTGACGCGTCCGTTGGCCCTCGGCATCTACTCGGAGGGAAACGAACCCCACGCCCCGCCGCAATGCCCCCGTGACTGCAGGAAGGGGTGCAGCTGCACGGGATCCCGAGCGTGGCGCGTTCGGGCTCTCCCGTGCCAGGACGGCAGCGGAGAGCGGCGAGAAAGGAAAGGAGGAAAGAAAGGGAAAGGGAAAGGGAAAGGGAAAGGGAAAGGGAAAGGGAAAGGGAAAGGGAAAGGGAAAGGGAAAGGGAAAGGGAAAGGGAAAGGAAAGGAAACGGCCCTGGCGAGGGCGGTACCGCTCCGAACCGAGAGCGGGACGTCCCACGGCTGGCAGGGAGCTCCGGCGGCCTGCCGTGCGCCAAGGGAAGCGATGGTGCAGATGGAGAGCCATCACTGAGGCAGAAGTGCTGTTGGAATAAGTTTTCTATACAACCAAAGAAAAATAAACCTTTGGTACAAATAGATAACAACATTAATGTAGCAGACAATTCTGTTATTTATGTACAAGAGTCAACAATACAAAGAATTAGATATAAAAGGTTTCTTGGTCCAAAGCTTACTATACATTTGGAACATCTGTCCTCCTATCTTAAGACTGAGCACACACAAAGTACGGATAAAGCTTTCTGGCTTTCAAGAGATGCAATGATGATAAGACGGAAGAAAAATATCTTCAAAATCAAACTAATTTTCTCTATTCAGTCTGTTCTTCACAACAGATACTTAAATAAAACAAAGACTTAGAGAAAAAAAAATTATGCTCCACCACCAAACATATTTGCTACTATGAGAATTGGGATAACAAAAAACAATGTAGTCAATACTGAAATCCTTCCTTATGTTACCTGTATGATTTGAAAAAAAATCTGTCTCTGGGAGAAGTGAGGTCAGTTTGCAGATACTATCTAAGGAAACTGAAAGGTGTGTGTTGGGAAATTCTCATCAATGGGATAATTTTGTACTCATTGTACTGCACAATGACCAAGGACAATGTTTCTGAAGATGAAAAACAAATTCCTTCACCAGAGATTATCCTGAAGCCTGAACATCTCCAGGAAATAATTATACCCCTGGGTTTTCTCCCCCGACATTCTTAGCTGGCGTTTCTCTGAGGGAGAGGGAGGCTCTCATGAAGATACTTCATGCTCCCGTGCTCCGAAAAGTCAGAAACAACGTGATTGTCCCCCCTTAACAACCACTTCGTAGTTAAGAGTCCTTCGATTCCAACCGGTCCGCGTGCGTGGATACGCGAAGTACTAATTCCCACTTCGGCGCCTGTAGGAAACACCCAAGATAAAAGTAGTTAATCCTCTGATAATGTTCACTGCATACTAAATGGTTTTGCACCTCCCTGTAAAAAAGCTGCCTGCCTTTCRAGGACCTGCCATTCTCTGCTCCTCTGCAAACAGCAGTTCCGTTTATCAGATAGAGAAGCTCGAAGAGGTTAATTATTACATTACAAATTGCAATGTTTATACTCTTGGCTGCTACAGTTACTTTCAGAAAAAAAGATGCAAGAGAGAAGAGGTATCTCTTACACTGATCTTAGACTGATCTGAGGGCATAATCCTTAAAATAAAATAAAAGCTAAACCAGTAAAAATCCTACGTCCTTTTCTATCACGTTGATATTGTAAGACCTTAACTAGAATTTTTTAATCACACGGAACACCAAACGTTCCAGCTGACACAGTAATAGTGTGTAGCAGAGACTTCTGATTTTCCGCCTCAGGAAAGATTGTTTCCCTTCTGCACTCATTTCTGCACAGCAAGTGCACCTGCCTATTTAAGCAATGGATACTCAGTTTGGTTCGTGCCCTTCGTTCCTTAATGCTGCGGGACCGGCACGCTGGACAGGACAGTGGGCTTAGTCTGCCCGGCAGGACCAAAGCATTGCGTTATTTACAGCATCATTAGAAAGAGAAACAAAAAGAAAACCATTCAGCATTTTCAGATCCTCTATTGTGTTGTTCTATCACTATATGCATGTGGCATACTTTACTGCAATTGACTAGATCTTCAAAGCATCCAAAACATCTTTTTGTGGATGAAATTTCTAAGCTTAAACTTTTTGAACAGTACCTTTCCTCAAAACCTTTTATTAGATGGTAAAATAAAAGCCTGACCCTATCTCTCAGGGTTCATACTGCCACGCTTTTCACACACCGCCAAATTCTGCAGTCACATCCCCACGGTATTTTCCCTCTTACCGAGTCCAAATCTGTAGCCATCGGAGAATCGGGTACTGGCGTTCCAGAAAACACATGCACTATCCACATGCTGGAGAAAAAACTCTGCTGTTTTCTCTGGTAAAGAGACAGAGACAAAAATAAAATCCATTACATACAGAATAATCACATATTCCAATAAACACAGCATAAAACAGAACTTTCAAGGAGGGATTTAATTGCATGACCAGGGTGAAAGAACAGCTGCCCCAAACAGCTTTTGACATTCCAGCTGAGACAGTTAAGGTACAGTCAGCTCTCCATTAGTCTCAAACATGGAATTGCTCCACATAATGAAAAATCCTAAACTCAATTGCTGTTGCAAGTAACGTTTGGGAACTACAATGCAGCACACACCCAGAAGAACTGCTGCAGTGCAGTTAGTTACACTAATGCCCGGAGTTAGCAGTCAAACTAAAACAGCAGCTTAAGGAAGGAGCCTGGTCACTAACCATTTTCTGTGATAATAACATCTGTATGGGAACTTCCATACTTGTGGATATGTTCAATGGCCTCTTGAACGCTGTCTACCACCTCAATACAGCACTCCAGGTCCCCGTATTCTGTGCGCAGAGATTTCACTTCTGAAGGGCTGAATGTCAAGTAAGATGCAAACTTTGGGCCAGCATGAATCTTCACCTGCAATACCAGAAACATTTTGTTTGTGTTTACTGACGGTACCGGAGCCTTCCAGATGGAAGTGCGGCTTCTTGTGCACAATGTGGGATGGATAGCGGTCTCCGTGGTGCTATGTTTTGGACTTGGGACTGAAAGGTGTTAAAAACACACTGATGCTTTGGCTTTTGCCAAATAGAGCTTGCACAGCATCGAGGCCCTCTCTTCCCCCGGTTCCCACCATCTCTGTCCCCCTAGTGAAAAGGTCGGGAGTGTGTTGGAAGTCGGGAGGGGACGTAGCAAACAGCTGACCAGAACCGACCGAAGGGGTATTCCGTGYCATATGCACAGCAATATAAACTGAGGGGAAGGGGTTTTTGAACAAGGTAGGCATTGCTCCGAGACTGGCTGAGCATTGGTTTGTTTGAGGCAGATAGCAAGTAATTGCCGTGTGGGTGTTTYGGAGGGGTGGTGGATTGTTTTGTTTTGTTTTGGGGTCGGTTTATTTTTTTATCATGTTTTTTCCTTCTCTTTGTTCCCTTTCTTCTTCCTCTTTTCTTCATTTATCAAGCTATCTTTCAAACCAAAAGGTTCCTTGCTACCTTGACTGAAAAAGCATTGCTAGCATGTAGACAATTGATTGGCGTACTAACCTTCTGACGTTCCTTCGACACATCGGAAGGGAAAATGGGTGGGAATAAAGGGCACASGAGAGGAAAATTTTAAAAAACACAGGTATTGAGCAAATTCAGAAAGGATGAAAACAGGAAGGGAATTTGCTTGGGTAAGAAGCCAAATGAATAGATTCAAGAAGAAGAGGCGTTGCATCTGGCTGAATTTGAAAGGCTAGAGAGAGGGTTGTGTACATGCTCTCATAAGGCGGAAGATTACTTCTGCTATATACAAGGAAGTATATAGCAAAAGTATCCCAGTAACAGGCCGTAGATCATTTCTGCAGAGAAACTTGACAATGCGCGGAGAAGCAAAGTTCATTTATACGTACAAAGGCACGAAAGGGTAACTAAAATGCTATGCCGTATAAACAGGGGCTACACCAGCCAGACCGAATGCATCTAAAGTGCGAAGACAAAAAAACACCCGCAAAACCCAAAACCCACGGACCGAAACGCGAGTAACCGGTGACTAACCTGCTCTACTCTCAGCATGTCTATGATCTGATCGAACAATGGGGTTCTCAGCAAGTCTCGATGAATTAAGAGAGTTTCCAGAGCATTACAGGCAGCAGGATATTCACATTTTGAATCTCTGACTGAGGTTTAAGAGAAGATATTGGTTACATAACATTTACAACAAAGATTTTGAATAGCATATAAATGATAAATGACCATAACTACATCGCATACTCCACAGCTCAGTTACACCCATGAGATTCAAGTCACCCTCCCACAGCTTACTTATTCGTGTGACCTTCTCAACACTGGCATCCRTGTCAACATACACGTGACAGATCCCTTCGCTGTGTCCCATCACTGGGATTCCCTTAGCGGCTTTCTGGATATTCCTGACTAGCTGCGATGAACCACGTGGAATGATAAGATCTATCAACTTATCCAAACGGCAGAGATCTTCTACTTCCTCTCTTGTGTTCACCTGAGGTAGTCGTAACACAAACGATTTACAATTTGAACTCTCAAGTTTTGCCCGTACTTTTTAGTCGATTCAACTCTAGGCACTTACCAGTTGCACCGCATCTCTGACTCCATGAACAGAAAGGGCTTCTTGCGTCAGATGATGAAGGATTTGATTGCTATGCGCTGCCTCTTTCCCTCCTTTAAGTAATAAGCCATTTCCACTGGCTATGGCCAAAGCAGAGACCTGTCAAAGGAGTTTATTACAGGGAAAAAAAAAAGCCAACCCTTAAGTATAATCTGATTCCTCTGTCACAATCATASCCACAAAATAAACAGACAATTTTTGGTTCAGTTTATTTACTCAATATTCATCTACAGTCTTCCTTTTACAGCTCCAAAAAACCATTACTGGTAGCAGCACATTTAACTCCAGAAATAAAATGTCCTAGTTTTTCAGGAACAAACTTGAGCTTTCAGGATACTGTTGCCAGAGGAAGACTGCAGAGAACAAGTCAGAGGAAACTATGAACATAGGGCTTGATGTGAATCCTGTAGCTGTGTGGGCAATTACCCCAAGGAGAATAATTCTAGGAGCAAGAACTCCTGTCCCTAACCAATCCGGCAGAGAGTGGCAAATAAGCTCTTCCTATGAGTGGGCAGAACATTTTCATCACGCTGTCTAAAACAGCAATCATAAATAGACAACTTGCTCTCAATGTGGAGAAAAAAAGAAATTTGAGATGAGAGGTCCGGCATCATCCTCACTCCCATGTTTATCATCTGAGGAAACCCATAGAAAAGCTTTCTGTGCTTTCTGTGCTCAGCCTATTTCAAATTTTTTAGTCATGTATTTCTAAAAGCTACAGCATTTGCATTAGACCGTTTCTGTTTAATGCCAGCCTGCGGTTCAGATGCGTACAGCAAGGCCACATAAATGCACATCAGGAGAAGCCTCCCAAGCTATGAGTCAGGCACTGAACGCACACTCATCAAGACGCATGCAGAAACTGCATCATCTGAATGTAAGATAACTCCTTCTGTATGTCAGGTTTAACAAAAAAATGCAAAAAACACAGCTCCTCCTCTGGCAAAAAGCTCAAACCCACCCAAAACGACCATAAAAAAAAAAAAAAAAAAAAAAAAACAACAAAAAACCCCAGGCCTGATTACCAGAACCCTGCAAAAGCAAGTTCCAAAAACATCTCTGTATACAAAACAGGAGTGCCAAAAATCAATTGTAGATTAATCCAGGCAAGCGTCCTTTGAAAAAAAATACTTCTTGTAGTCTCCTACTTGGTCACCAACAGAAGTACCCAATAGCGTAGTCTGCCTTCCTTACGTACCTGCGGAAGACAGTCGGGACGAGACTCAAAGATCACGAGAAGGACGCCAATGGGCACCGTCACCTGCTCCAAATCCAGGTCTTTTGCTATTCGAGTTCGTCGAATTACACGGCCGACGCTGTCTCGTGAGGATGCTGCGATCTGACGCAGACCAATAGCCAAGCTGTTAAGCTTTGAAGTAGACAGACTTAGGCGTTTCAACAAAGGGAGTGCCAATCTCCCTAAAAGAAAGGAAAAGTTGTGCTGGAGATAAATTGGTCTTCTAACGCTCGAGCAAAAGTAACTTAAATGAATGCTGAACCTAAGGACAATTAAGGTATTTTCCAACTTTAGCAAGGATTCTACCCAAGATTAAAAATGCACAGCATTAAGTCCGGTAGTCACAATAAAACCCCTCAAATAGAATGATGATTTCACCCACCACGTTTTCAAAGGTAACGTTTGTCCTATTTCATGTACTGAATGCATGACTGAATTTCTTAAAATTTCTACCTTTGCAGTATTTCTAGAAGGTCCAGGCAGTACTTTCCCCTTTCAGTTTTACAAACAGAAACGCCAAAGCACAGACACATGCATAGCATTTCTGTGCAGACTGAGCAAAAACTACCAGAATTTTCTGGTTTGAACATGTTGAAACAGTAAGCTAAACCCAGCAACGACCCTTCAAATACTCTGATCGGTAGTGCCTTCCACAGAGTTTTACGATTCACGATGAGTCCTTTTCGTACGTTTGCTACGCTGATACGTACGCRTCTTATTTTCAGCTTCTCAGCGATTGCATCAATCTAACACAGAAGAATGGGGTTCATCTGAGCCACCTGAAGAGAACCTTCCTCAATCAGAAGGGGACACGGTTCTCTTCGGAGAGCATCAATTTACGTGTATAGATAGCCTTCCCTTCAGGAACCAAACACTACATTAAGCGGCACAGAAAATATTCACTTTATGCACAATGGTAACACAGATATTTGTTCCATTCTTTTATTTTTTTTACAATATACCACTTGATGTTTTGCACTGCCACGGTATCTTTTCTGATGAAAGCATCCGTTTTGAGCAATGGAGAAAGCTGCAGCTGTTCACGCTGACAAGCCCTCAAACTCCTGGGTTCGCTAATCTGTGTCAGTCATACCACCCAATCCTAGATGATAAAAGATTCTAGTTCTGCTCATTTTTGTCAAAGCCCAGAGAGGTTCAAGGTGATAGTATTACCGTAGTAGGATTTGAAACAGTACCTTTATTTTCAGCCTCCTGTAAGTCCTTTTTGTTTGCCAAGAGAATTTCTTCTCTCTGGTCCGTTAGTAAATCAGCAAGACGATAAATAATCTCYGCTCTCTGAAAGAGAAAACAGTTTCTGAACTGACTTCTTACTCAAAGTCCACGCAGTTCGACACCTAGTCCCTATTCATGCTGACCACATCCTCTCACTATCCTAACTCTCCCAATACTTGGCCAGCTGATTTTTGCAGCCTGCATCGCGTTGAAAAAAAAATGAACACCGCTTTAACCTTTACTTTGCTTTTTATTATCTCGCTTTCCTTCCTGGTGCTCTTCACCAAAATCACGTCCTTCCTTTAAGAGCACCTTGTGCCACATCACATCCACTCAGTTGTATAGCGGTAATTCTTTACAGCTCTGCTTTTGTATACATGGTGTATGTTAAATTCCACACAGATGCGAATGGAGCAAGTTATTCCAGTCAATTCCTCAGTAGCTCTGATCACAATTCACTTCAATTTGTTATTTGATGCTATTGAAGTTTTCATAAACCCCGAACAAAAGCATGTATTACTTCGGAGCCCCGAGGTACGTGATCTTTTTGCTTTTTTCATCTTTTAGTACGCTACCCTACAAATAATGGATCTGGTACACAAATAATAGATTCTTGTCCCCGCTTATGTTATAAAGTGTTGCAAAACTTGCCGCTCGTGCATAGTTTTAACAAGCTGGCCGTATTGTTCTGTCACCTGTTCAGGCTGCAGAGCTGCCAAGGTCCTGCCACCGGCTCGAGCCATTTCAGCCTGCTGTTCTACTGTAGGGCCTGCAAAAAAAMCCCAAAAATATTCTATGCAGGCAAAGTAACGGGATAGGCAGAAGTGAGCACTGGCCCTATCGTCTTCCAATTCTTTGTTCTGAGCACAAAGGCCAGTACGGTTTTAAACAGACAAATTTGAGAAAAAAGTTGTGCACTATGACAGAAAAGTCTGTACCTAATGCAAAAATCCTGTTATAGTTCCTACATAAAGAGTCATCACAAAGATTATGTTCCTCTGTCACAGCAGCATGCATCAAGAAGACTTGATGAAGGGCAGAAGAACAACAGGACAGCTAAGTCTCTAGGGCATAGGAGGCTACTGAAGAAAAGAGGCAAACTTTGAGAAGTTGAAGCATCCAGCTGAGAAATGTACGCATAAGAACACAAACAACAGCGGAAGCCAAAGCCCTAGTAGCAGCTCACAGAACAACTGCTGTCCCTCAGCCTTTCCTTGTATGCATTTTAGGAGCGAGGTGATGAAATGATATAAAACACGTTGTCTGTGTTTCTGTTTCAAAGTCACCGTGTTTAGATAGTGTTTCTGCAAAGAATTCAGAAGTAGCTCACGGATTAACTGAGGCGTCATTTTCAACTCTCCCGAAATAGCCTGTAAATCCTGTGACTTGGAAAGGGTTAAATACAACCCAACTTCCATTTAAGAAGGATCCCATGGAAGTCGCCAGAGTAGAAATTACAGAGAGGTATAGCAAGAAATGTTAGGAAAGAACTTGTGGACATAAGATTAATCAGACTTATTTAAAACATCTTAAACCAGCGTTTTGAAGTGACATCATGCTTCGCAAAGTATTACTGTTCTTTGAGAAAAAGGACGTATGTAAGCAAACATACTCGATTTTTTAAAGTTACTTGAATTTCCAAAGTGTGGGATTTGGGAGACAGAAGACAAAGAGAGATTGGAGTAAACACCGCAACAGTCTGCAGGGACAGACTTTTGCTATTTTCCATATATGTAAGTGATTCGGAATGGGATCGCAAGAATGAAAGCTTTTCCGCTCATACCCATTTATTATAGCAGGGCTAACCAAAAAGGCTCTTGACCATAATGACACTGAGTGGGTTCAAAGGATGACTTGACATATATATACGAGAAATCCACTAAGGATTATTACACATAAAGAAATTCATTTTGCTTAAAGTGCAATTCAAAAGTATTGCTCCTATTCAAGGGTCGCAGATCTTTGGTTTGATTTTATCCAGCAGCTGCTATGCAGTTACAGCAATGCAGTGGCAGGAAAACATTCCTACCTATCATACCAGAATATGGTATGATAGACTAAGACTAGGTTGTAAAAGAAATTTATGATAAAAAATAAACCTAAACGCTACCTTAGTTCAGAGGCGCATTCAATGTCCATATTTTCACACTGAAACCATGGATACTTGATCATAGTTTCTAACACTGCAAAAGACAAAATTTCTACTCTACTCACTTCATTCTTCAAATCGAAATATGATGCAGCATTTTATCAGCTGGAGGGAAGGAGTGCAGGGAATTCAACAATTTCTGTCCTTACTTTAGAAAATACCTTTCAAAACCAATTTTTCAAGCAGAGGATGATTTCCCAGTTATTGCACAGGTCTAGACAAATTTTAWCTCTAATTTTTCAGGAAATCTCTACAACTCTCAAGGTACACACTACCTCTGTACTCACCTGCAGGTTTTACCTCTGAAAAGAAAGTTCCGACTTTTTTCCCTTCTACAATGTCTGTAATGACATGACCGGAGATCTTTGGGTGGGTTCCATTTGCAATCACTACAGAGGTGCCCCCTTGCAGGGCCCACAGAGCTGCTTTCACCTACAGCAAAGGATAGAGTCAGCTCCAAGAGATTAACTTGTTATTTGTATCACCACTCTAAACAAGACTTCTTGGCCAGCTTTGATGTCCAGATTGATCACTTACACTTTCCAAGAACACTGGACACACTTTGTGAATTTCTGAACCTCAGTGCTGGAATACTGAAATTTGCTTAGTGCTAAGGCAGTATTTTAAGTTTACATTAGGATTAGCTTATTAGTAAGGGTCCTTTGAAATCCATTAGGACTGATGAGCCCTAAGATTAGCCACCTCCCACATACTTGAGCACAACATGGTTTCTCTGAAATCTATCCTCCTTCAGCATTTCATCAGTTCGTGCCAAAATAAAAAAAAACATAAACGCAGATGGTACCTGCTGAAGAAGTACTGCCGGTGGTTCCTTTAATTTCACTTCCCAATGGAGATAGAGGCAATATTATCCACAACTCTATGTGTCATTTATTTAATTGCAAAAGCTTCTCTGCTTACTCACTATTATGCTTTCCTAATACAGTTCTACAATTTTGTATTACAGTACTTGGTATTACAGAATACAGTATCTCTGTTCACTACCAGATKCAAATGTCACGTAGGCCTATTGCATCAAGCTCTGCTACCAGAAGACCATCAACTGCTTCACAGTTGCCCAAATTTCATGCTGACACAACTCCACAGATGCGGTTTCACTGGTGCGGAGTAGCTGAAAGTTCTCCTCAACCTCCTGGCTACATTCTTTCTAATGCAACCCAAGCCACGGCTGACCAGCTTCGCGCAAAGGGCGTATTGCTGACTTACATTCCATTTGGTTCTGCCACGGCTCATTTACCCTTTTCAGTGAACCCGCATTTCCTTTTAGTGAATTCCTAAGGTTCCTGCCTGCCAACTTCTGCGGACTATCAAAATCCATTTGAAGAGCAGCAGAGAGCATATCTCATCTAGCTCCCTCGCCTACCAAACACGAAACAAATGTTACGTATTTCTACCTTGGCTTCCATGCCGCCCATTCCCACTCTGGATTTGGTTCCAAATGTCACGGACTGCTGGTCTCCCGGGTAGAATATATCGATGAGCTTTGCATCATCAGAGCCTGGAGGGCTGTCAAAGAGTCCTGAAATAAACAATAAAAATCAGTTATACACCCTCATGTCCAAAGATTGCCCATAAAAGAAGACCAAAACCAACCAGAACAGTCAACATAAAACTAAAAAGCTGTGTTCTGCTTTATAGGATTGAAAACTTCCACCAAACCCTTTTTGTGTGGGACTGAAAGCATGAAACACTTAACTGGCAGACCCAAAAGCTATAGGTTTATTGAAAGCCTAAAATATAAGAAAGAAAAAATCCACATGCTGAATAGCAGCGTGCAAGCTGGGAGGCAATGACATTCGGTTGAGATCTGAGACAGTTTGCAGCTTTCAGCCATTCAAAATCAAGGCTTACAAGTGCCCCCCTGAACAGGCAAAGAATAGTCCTCGTCACCAAAGCCTCAGATTATATTCTTGCACGGTGGGTTGCAGAGTGAGAAAACAGGCAAATCAGAAACTTGTAAAAAGGGTAACTACTGAATTCTGCTAAGAACACAACACTACAAAAACATACTCTTATCAATATTTTTAAAAATCAAGTAATTTTATGTAACCACACTTGGGAGTTAAATTACACTTCTGTTTACCCACCACCATTAACTTCAACTCTACCACCGCACTTCTCAGAAATTCTACGTGAACAAACACTGACAYGACAAATTGGAGAGCACAAGCGCAGTTTACCCGTGTCCACCATCGATAGCTTGGGAAGTAGAGGACACGCATCTTCTACAAACAAGTCGTCACATTGAATGAATAAGCCTGGAGCACGAGTGTGCCCGTTTGCTTTTTTTTTTTTTGCAAGCTGTTTCGATTATTGCTTTTATGACAGCGTTCTCAGACAGTCATTTCAACTAGAATCAATCATGCAACCAGTTGCATCTGCTAAAAGAAACCATGCTTATGGAAAGACACCTCCTTCACAAGGCCTCGAGCATGTGCCGAACTCCGGGATCTACTGAAATAAACCCATCCGGAGAAGATGGAAAGACAATGTGACTTGGGTGACGTGGACTGCATTGATCTGAAACTGCTCCCACTAGCCTCCCCTCTCTGGAAAAGGAACATCCATCAAAAAAATCAACAACCATCGCTGATAGGCTTATTTCACAACAGCACAGCTCAGAAGACTAGAGTGGTGTAAGCCAAAAGTAAGGGAGACAGAAAAAGCTAGCAAGATCCAGGTATCTGGAAAACAATGACCAGAACTTGTAATATGCCAGTAATTCACTGACAGAACCTGCTGCCAGAAGAAAAAAACTATTGTAGTATAGCGTTCGGTTTATACTCCCGATTTAAAACACACAGGTTTTATCCTGCACACTAATCCTGACTATCTTATAATTCTGAGAAGCTAACAGAAGTACCACAGTACACGTAGTATTCTGGGCTCTGGAACAAGTCTCAGGTTCACGTGTGTACACACCCACCCAGACTCAACAGTGTGTCAGACAGTCTTGGGCTTATGCCACAGCATCAACACTGGGTATAGGCCTTAAGAAGTTATTGTAGTACATTGCAATTGTCCCTGTGAAAGAGATAAACTGAAGAGATCAAAGAAAAGAGGTTGGCTCGACAGTCTGATGTGCTTCCCTAAAAGRAAACATTAAAAGAAATTACTCACAAACCTTCTACATCTGAAAGAACAATCAGGAGATCAGTTTTCATTTCCACAGCCAATCGTGCTGCCAGACTGTCGTTATCCTTCACACTAATTACCTGCAACACACGTGTATCATAAGCGCAAATAGCGTGACGAACTAATATATATTTGGTGCCAATAAAAAAGCAATCTAACTCAGTGCTAACAAAAAAGTCCTTCTGAGCTACTTTGTTCACACCCACTRGAAACTTCAAACGTGATCCTTGTATCAAAGTGTGTACGTTTTAGCAAAGTGGTATCAAAATGACGAGGAGTGTGATCGGTAGCTGCGTTCTCCACCTCGGTGCCCGGTGACAGCGCAAGAGGCACTAACGCTGCTTTAAAGCAGTTGCCGGATTAGATGACCTGCAGAAGTATCTTTCAACTTCGGCTACTCAATGAAAAACCGAACTAGGCATGCTCACTTCTAGTAGAGTGCACTGTATCTGCCCTGCTTTCATCCCGCAATGCTGCATCATGCCAAATACAGACAAGTCGACGCAGTTTTCCCGTACCCTCTGTACGCATACTGATTCTGCATCTTTGTTTCTCTGCTGTAGACTTCAAAGGTCCCCGGTTATGACATTAGTCAAGTACACATTAGTGCCGTACCATCTGCAAGCAGAAGGCCCTCCCCCTTGCAATACTTTACCCACATTTACCCCCTGCAGATCACTGTTTGGCTCTGGAGGTGGAACAACTGCATCGTTAGTGTTAATTATAGGGACGATATTCATCCTTAAAAGCTCGTGTAACGTTCCATTTAAGTTGCGACGCTTCTGCTCGTCGTGAAAATCCAGGTTGGTGACTAATATCTAAAAGGAAGAAAGAAACTACTTAGCCTACCACCTTTCCTACGAGAACGTGATATAAACCCATGCCTTAACGTGTCATAACAGAGCAGTCATGCCTTTGGGTCACTAAGGAAACAAAAGCCACATTTAAAAGAATCGAAGCGAGAAATATTCTTTCCACAGTATCATCAGGTTTATTCCAGTGAAGCCTACAATAGCCTATCTCAACGTGATAGGTCACATGCTCCAGGAATGAACTGAGACAAAAAGATCGTAATCAGAACATAGATGCCAATGGTAACTACTAAGACCCTAGACAATTCAGCAGATGACTCGAGATGCTGCTCTTGCAGTTTTTCCTCCCACTGTAGTGTTCCTACTTGAAGTGAGCAGAAGTCAATTTAGTTCAATTGATACTGTTGCAGCAGTAGGTATAAGACCCCGGCCAAGGATACCATCATCTCCGAGTCGGGAAGGTTCAAAGAGCAGATAGGACGGTAAGTTCTGAAGCGKTCGTACGCATTTCCATCGGCTTTACGGAATGTGTGGTAGTTTAGCCACCTGGTTTTTAAGCCCTCACTTTGGACCACGCACTTCAGCTTTTGTGAAGAGACCTTGACAGACCCACCCTGCTATAAAAGAGCAGGACACACCTAAACTCCAAACAGAAAAAGCACATTCATTTTATCTCGACAATAGGTAACTCCATTACAGAAATACTTAGCAAGACACTGTTTCTAAGTGAAAAAGCTACCGTTTATGTGGCAATAATAAGCCCAAAAGTAGCAAGTAAGTATAGGAAAGAAGGAACACCTTACTTGAGCTGCACAGATGCTGTACTGTGTAAACATGGCTTCGTACAGAGCCATCAGTCCACTCTGTCCAGCTGCTGCRCAGGCTCGGGCTTCCAAGACCGGAATAGCCTACAAAGACAAAGAGCAGCTGTCAGGCACTGACTCAAATGGGTAGTATCCAACATTCAAGGAAAAGCAGGAGTGCCACCAGCCTCTCACCATATCTTTAAGCTGACTCTGGCCCGAATGAAGTGCTTGCCTCACACTCTGAGAAAGCAAGATCTCGTGACGCAACCGCTGCTTTCCAAAAGCTACGGCCCCACTGGTGACAATCATCATCTCTCGGCCCTGATTTTGCAGCATCGAGACCTGTAAGTATAAGAAATAAGAAATAGGGCCTGGCGATGGGTGTGAGCAAGACGGTTCTGGCTACTATAACCTTACGCTCACCAATTCCTGCTGACACAAGTGTTTCGCTTTATCCATGGATTTGCCAAGCAAGGCAACCGCCCTTTAAGATACTTCTGCATGCCTTACAGGTCACTTGGAAGCTATGCCAAGGAGTGTATGCAAGCTTAAACTTCTGTCAAACCTTCTTTTCACAATACTGGCTTTTATGACAGCAACGTGCTCAAATGCGTGCATTCCCAAAGCTACTATCGTACAGTAATTTGAAATCTAGAAGTGAACAGGCCGACTCTCAATAGTAAAGCTTTTGATTACTTCCTCCGTACATGCATCTGGCCAGATTCCTTTCAAAGCCCCAAAGCTAAGTGTCTTACGTGAATGTAATACATTGCGCTTACTTAACTTCCCAGAAAGTCTGGGGTTCACCAAGATAACCGTTTCATTTTGGAGAAGAAATACGGGAGCCGGTCCCATCAGTTTTTCTCTGGAGGAAGTCTGCGAGCGCTCAGGTGACCGAGAAGGGTTCGCTCGTTTTGCAGAGTTCGCGTACTTCAGTGCCACCTTTTTGAAAGTGCTGTGATACCTAGAGACAACTAATGCCCCAGCCACATCTTACCTATTGCATGAAAATCTCACTGTGCAAGTGTCTCCCTCTATGCTGGGTTTGGCCAACTTTCTTTATGGGGGTCCATATGGTACCGCTTTTTGGATTTCCATTCTAAGAGTTTCGATAATATTGCAATGTTTTGCCTATAGCTAAATGGTGCTTGCATAGCAGCAGAGCATTATCTTTCCCCCACGCCGWGTAGCACTCACACGGCCATCGAGGCTTTCCTTGTTCCATTATGTCCCATCCCAGAAGGCAGGCCTAGCAACTGGGCATAAGGTTCAGAGAGGACATATTTGAGACAGCTGAGCTTCACTGGCCAAGGAGACTTTTCGCACCATAGAACGTCATGCGTGGTAATAAAATTGGTGTTGCAGAATAGCAAAAGGCAGGAGGTGGTCTTCCGAGGTGGCCGACACTCAAGGACTAGCAGGGCATCGGTCTGCTTGTGGGAAGTAGTGGTTGTCTTAGCATCATGGATTTCTTTTCCTTTCTCCTCCCCTCATTAAACTGTCTTTATTTCAACCCATGAATTTTCTTACTTTTGCTCTTCCCACTTTCTTCCCAGTCCCACCGGTGATGGGGCAGAGGTGAGAAGAGCAAACAAGAATATCTGTGGATGCCTAACTTATGGTCATGATCACGACCACATCTTCAAAAAACAATTTACTGAGTTCCATGGTTTATAGTCTTACAGTACAGGGGCTTGAGAAAAGGAAAGGCTAATAGATAGTTTTAAAGAGCCATCACTATTTTATGATGGTTTACTACAATCTCTTCTGTACCATGCAACAATCAATGAGTATCTGAAATTATCACAAATGTTCAGCCAGAGAATTACCTGTTCTACAATAGAAGCCAGCCTCCCGAGGGCCAAGCCGCACTCATCACCTCGAGTAACGACAGCGCTACCCAGCTTTACTACAATCCGCTTTGCGTGCTTCAGCTCACTGCGGTGTGCAAATGACTTTCCGTGCGTGCGACTGAGTGGGACGGTGATAAATGGAATGTTGCTCCAGCAACGGATGGATTCATTCCTTAATCTTTGGTTATGGCAAGGAAGGTCTGCGGAAAAAAAAAAAATGCGGTTTTAAGTGTTTCATTCAGACTTATAACCCTGCACCATACACACTTCTTAGTGACTGGGAATTAGAAGCTTTCAATTCATCAAAACAGAGTGAGAAACAGGAATGTCTGAGCAGTACTAACTATCCCTAACATACAGAAGGCAAATATCCCATGCATCACAGAGCTCTGACTCTGGGAATCTAGAAAACCAAACCGAAAGACATTGTTTCTAAAACTGTCCTTGAGATGTGAGCTATATAGGCTTTTTTACAATCTCCTCTGCCTTCCCTCATTAGATACAGTTAAGAGAGTTTTCTTTGTACTACTGCAGTAGTACAGAAAGTTTGACTGTTAGAAGACAAACACAGCTTTTACAACATCTCTAAGCCAGGTATTTTTGTGCATTGCTCAGCTAAGGGAGAGTCAAAAGGGGACGACAGACATACGAACTCAAAAGTTGCAAAGTAGTGTTCGGGCCCAGGAACGGGCCTCCTGAAGATGCGGTCGCGGTCCGAGGCCATCAATRCTCAGGAGGCCTTTGGAAAACACTCGTAGGGTGTTTTGGCTTCGTGCGGTCCCGAAGCGTCAGGCCGTGGGCCTCGATGACTGCTCTAAGAGTTTTACAACCAACTATTTATTCTAGTGAATCCTAAAAAATGTATCATCTGAAGATGCAGAGGCTTCTTTACGACTCAGAATCTGAATCCTATGCCATGGTCAGAATTACCTGATTTTATTTTCTGTGTTTGGTATTTCTAATTTTGGTGCTCTATAATAAAAAATAGATTCATTTTTAAGTTAAAGTGACTGGTCTTGGTGTTATTGGAGAAAGACAGGAATGAACATTGTGCTGCATAAAAGAGAAACTTGCAATTTAACAATGTTTTAATTAAATAAATCTTTTGTTTATTACACATATGGAAGAAGCTTAAATGACTAATCGTGAGGGCTGCACTAACAAATCACACATGTAAAAAGAAAATGGAATTTAGAGAGGAGTTTCATTTGCCCCTAATTTTCACGAGGGAATATTTGTGAATGTAAGCTCTACAATACATAGGAAAAACTGCGCAAAGGAGTACAGTTTAACTGTTCTTTCTGTCATYGTGCCTTACTATTTAGTGCTTCTATTTAATATTTGCCTAACCGATACAGTATAACCAGAAAGGAGTTTATTTTCAGCTCTCCTGGCTTCAGGGTTTAGAAGGTTCCGAGAAGATAGCTGTTGAGAGATAACCAGTATATGAAAAGAAGTATTTTTTGTTTCAGAGAAACAAGAGAAAAGACAACAGTTATAGAACAAGCAGAGAATTCAATTCACACTAAAGTCCTAATCATTAATCTTGCTTTATGGTTTCATAAATCTATCTTTCTTAGTTATTTTACACTGGACTGACACGTGAAATCAGCTCCCGCATTACATATGCCAAACACTTCTGGAGATGCAAGCCCGTTAACTTGCTCCACATGCCAAGCAGGGAGGAACTGACACAGCCATTCGGTCCAAGTTTTGGATAAGTAGACTTAAAGGCATTCCAGTTTTTATAACCTGTACCTGTCAACATTTTCACTTCCTTTATAAAGAAAGGGAAACAAATGAAACATACTTAAGTATTGGGCAGTGCGGACCCTTCTGTACAGCCTGCGCAAGGCTTGCTTCCCAGGAGTAAGTAAGCAGAATTTCAAAATACACACGAGCTGAACAGAACAGAAAAGAAACACAGAGAACAAACAGAAAACAGTGGAGAACAAAAAAACCACCTGTGATAAATGATCACTCCAGCTTCAAATAACAATTGATGAAGTGACAAGAGCCGCTCCACCGTCGGATACTGCCAATACTTGGGAACAAACCTCTCACAGCATTGAGAAAGTTAGCACTGTGAAAATTGCCGACTTCAGAAAATAAGGAATATTTGGAAATATTACAAATACAGAAATCAACAGAGCTGTGGCTCATAAAAGCAAGTTTAGATTTTTCAGGAGGTCAACATGTAATTCATGTAATTATTAGTAAAAGAGAACTGTTAATACACAGACCAGTGGGAAATTAATCCTGCATGCAATGCTAAACAACTATTCTCTTGATCTAAAAGAGTTTATCTATCCTTGCCGTTTCTATTTCAGACCGCTACTCAAAAGGACACTGAATGGTTCTCTTAAGTTAGGTTTTCGGGGAAGAACTATTTACAGGGCACCAATGTATTTACACTCAGGTTTCCTTTGTGCATCTTTTCATTTGAATCTAACCCAAATAAATTTGAGCTTCACATCTTGCTTTACTCGAGAAATCTGAAAATGCGGAGAGAGGAGCAGACATAATCAGGTCTTGTTTTCCAGGAATGTATGAGGTTGAAACAAAGAATTTTGACAGTAGCAGTACTTTTACAACTGATTTTTTTTTCCTTGAAATGCATGTCAGAATGAAAAATACACAAACTCAGACATCCAGCTGAATATTTTTGAGTTAAGGGAGAAAGTAAAATTGAGAAAGTAGAGCTTCAACTGCAGTTCACTTTGCAGGTTTTAAGTTTTGAAACATGTTAATGAGATGATTTTCCTTTCAACATAKGAAAGGGCATAGGCATGCCCAGACACATACTGACCAACATTTCAGAAATGTGTGCTTTCTCTCATACATACATAAACGGGAAATGGCAGCGATGGCATGCGGCTGTAACACAAAGCACCATCCGGGGCAACGGACAATAGGGCTCAGAGCAGCTCGACACAACATTTTGAGATGCCTTCTGCAAATCAAGGATATCTGCAAGTTAAAATGAAGGGAGGAAGGGGGAAAACTGGTTAAATACCAATGACTTTCCATCCATATTTCTCTCCTCGCCCACTCCCCAGGTCCGACTCCTCACTGTCCTTCACAATCTTAATACAATTTCCTCGTGCCTGCTCTCCATTTTGCAGAATTTGCGCACAGACTGTGATACAGAAGAACTGAAGGCCCCCTCTCCCCTACCTGCTGCCAGATCTTTATCAAAGGTAAATAATAAAACATGTCTCCCCGGGAAGGGAAAACACTATTAGTAAATGTACCCACAATGTAAAAAAGTCCTAATTTTGTCCATGGYGAAGATTGGAAGAAAAAGAGAAAATAGTGAGAGATTGTATCATCCGGACTTCTCTGTACACTCCACAATAGAGCACCTACTCTATTTCTCATGAATCTCAGCCCTATTCAATATAGGAAATATGCTCATTCACTTTTCCCTAAGCACTATCATATCCATGATTGCAAGTAAGGACACAAATTTTTTAAGCACTTTGCGTTAGGTTCCCTTGACTGAACATGCAAACACTAAGGATTCTCCTAACTCCAAAATTCACTAGACCAAGTACTCGGCAAACAAGGGATACACAATTAGCCATTTCCTATGACAGATCTAGTTGAAGTAATGCATCCGGTCTTACCAAGAAAACAAACGAGATTAAGAAGAATCTAGTTCTCCCAAACATTACTTAATCCACGAAAGCTCTCCTTCCCCCGTTACAAAACTTTGCTTCCTTTACTCCCTTTCAACACACTTCCCTGCACCACTGAAGGTAGTGACAAGGAGACCTCATAGTAACTGCACTGGAAGTCTGCTATTACCAGGACAATTACACTGCTGACAGTTCTGGTATCCACGTACATCAATACCAGAAGGGGCCTTTATTACCCTCAGTTACAAACCTTACCAAAAGATACACCTCTACATTAGACAAGGGAGCCACCAGCAGATAACATTTCTCCTGTTTTGTCTAGTAATGCTTACATTTAATGGCATTTTAATAATAATCTTAACCTGCAATATCCCTTCAGTTCTGTATTTCATGTGAAATAGAAATATTGCCCACTGCCAGGATGAGGCAGACAATTGACTCTGAACAGATCATGCAACTAAGTATTCACTGCTTCCTTCTCGTAACAGGGCAAGCTTAAAGAGGCTGGGGAACATTACTAACTAGTTAGCACTGTTAGTACTTTCCCCCTTTGAACCCTTACCAGGCACCTCCAGAGCTGCACAATTCCCACTATTCATAACTGGTTGTTTTAGCCTTCCACCTCAAACCTCACCTTGACCTCTACTGTCAGATACAGTCTTCTCGAGAGGGTCTTAGCTGTGTCTCAGAGAGATGCTCAAAATCCAGACATGACCTGGCAAATGCCAGGTCATTTATCTAGAACCCCTTCCACCACGAATATCCTGAGTGGAACTGCCCACTTCTCTTCAGCTCCCTTTATGACTATGCCCCTCCGAGGACAGAAACAGGCACCTTCCCTGAAGTTGCACCTCTGGACACTTCCCCTTACCTCTCCTGTCAGGCCTTTAATTCCTGCTACAGTGATAACCTTCACCTGGTGCTTCACTGTTACAAAATATAGGCCTACACGGACCAGATCGAGGTGTGCCGACTCATTGACTGCTCCAACTGATCTGCCAAAGAACCACTGGACAGCCKCGCTACGGGCTGCTTGCAACTAAGAGCAACCTCGTCCTTCTGGAAGATTGTCTCCCGTTTCCCTTTGCTAGAGACAACTTTGCTAAAAGCAGGTGTAAAAAATGTCAGACATTGTGGATCTCCCAAAGGAAGAAGATTAGAAAAAACAGCATGTTATTCAAACTAGCCTGTGAGAAAAGGCAAGGAGACCAAGTTAATGAGAAAACAGGAACAGAAGGTTTAAAGCAGCAGCAGATAGCAATATATGAAATGGAAATGGATGCTGCCAGAAAGAACAGAGCACAGTTTACAGTATGCTGTAAAATACAAGCTTTCTTTCAGACTACTCAAACTTCTTTCTCTCCTCTCACTCAATCAAGGATTGAAATTTCAATTCTTATTTTCCATTCCACTCGCATTTCCACCACTTCCATACATGGGATGGTTCTGATATTCAGTAACAAACAAATACAAAAAGAAGAATATAATAAAAAAAAATAACTTAAAAAAAGGAAAAAAAAAGTAAAACTTTCCTCCCTTACCTGGAGGAAGCAATTAAAAAATGCAAAATGCATTACTCAGGTATTTCTCCTAGCATCAGTTTAAACATTAATTTTTTCGCTACCAGAAAAACATATTTCTTCCAAAGCAGTCTCCAAACATGACCTTTCAAAATATAGTTTTCTTATTATCTCTTTAAATAATTAAAGCTAGCCTTGTATTGTTGCTCAGAGAAAGCAATACCRTCAGCTAGTTTTCATGCATGTATTATTTTAAAAACATGTTAAGTAGCACAGTACATTTAGATGCTGTTACAGATCAGTGTAGAGACTTAGTTGCCTTCCAAAGCAGAGATGTCAAATTTTAAAACTGGTGCCTTGAACGACAACAGTCTATAACACTGTTTTCTCAGTCTGTTGGCTGCAGAGCCATAGGATGCCCACAGTTATTTGAAGTAAGCAGATTAAATTAAATAAACTYTTTTTTCATTGTTTTTATATATAAAGGCAAATATCTCAGAGTGTTAGGACATTCCACAAGTGAAAAAAAATCTGGAAATCAAACTCTGATCAWAAGAACTGTTTTGTGAAACACTAAGCACAGAAGCAGAGATGAATCAAGGGAAATGCACACAATGTCCGTGCAGCAAGCTGTTACCACAACACAGATTTTAAGTCCTCTGTAACATTCAGAAGCTTTTACTATTCGAACCGCTTCACTATCTTACCAACTGAAACTTTTGCAAGGGAAAAAAAATCGATCTGCAGCTCATCGTGCCAACTTTAAACCCCAGAAACCTTCCCAAAGGGAAGCCAGTTGGAAGAACTGGCCAAAGACCTCACATGGTCTTTAGAGCAGCTCGCATACAGGTTCACCCGCGTTCTGYGGGCTATACGCACAAAGAGGCAATACAAAGCAGCAAATACCATGCGATTCCTTTCCCTCAAGAACGCATCCCAGCAGGCCAGCGCGCCCACTGCAGCACCGCCTGGGGCGGCAGAGCGACACCTTGTCTTGGCCTCGGAACCCTTCCGAGTGCCCGAGCGCCTCAAAGGGCAGTATCTGCAGGAGTTCGGTGTTGGTCCATTTTGCCAGACGCCGTCTCTAAATCAGTTCCGCAACACAAAAGGGGCTGTAGAGCAGCAGCACMGGTGGGCAGAGCCGGGCCCTCGGAGGCCTCCCTGCGGAGGGGAAGCCGACGGACCGCACGGGTTTCCCGGGTCTTTCGAGCACGCAAACCGCGGCGGGGCCCCCCTCCCGAGCGCCGCGAGTCCCCGCGCCCTCCGCACCTGTGGCGGTCCCGCCGAGCAGCGCGCGCAGAGAATCGCGGGACAGACGGGGCGCGCGCCCGCCGCAGCGGCTCCGGGGCGGCCCCGCCGATCCGCCTCAGCCAATCCCGCCCGGAGCGGCCTCGGCCGCAGCCAATCCCGCCCGGAGCGGCCTCGGCCGCAGCCAATCCGCGACCGCGCAGCCAGCGGCCACGTCACCCACCGCCACGCGCCGCCCCCGCACGCGCTCCTTCCCCACAGCGCTGTCCCGGCAGATGATGTAATTCCCCTCCACGTTGCAGCACAAAATCTTGGCCTTTGCAAGTTACAGCATTAACAACTGTTTTGTCTGGTCCCAGGCTAGTCCAGACAGTCCTCTCCACGGCACAGRCTGCTGAGCCATCTTCCACAGCCAGCCTCCCTTAACCTGGACGCTCTTCGTTCTCACATGTTTGCAGTCTGGTGCGGACAGCAGATGAAAGGGATCTGCAGACAGATTTCTAGGAGTGGCTTTAGCTCCTTAGGCCATTTATACCCTTTCTTTTTTTTCTGCTGCAGCCAAACCTCTTCAAAAGTGCAAGAGTCCTGGCTTTGCTCTTCACTTACCCCCCATATCCCATTAGAACTCACTTTTAAATTAAGAGAATCAGGATATTTGAGAACCATAGAATACCCCAAGCTGTAAAGTACCCACGGGGATCATGGAGTCCAACTCCTGGCTCYTCGTGGACTGCCTGACACTGCTGTCCAAATGCTCCTTGAGCACCATCAGCCTTGGGGCTGTGACCGCCACCCTGGGGAGCCTGTTCCAGTGCCAACCACCCTCTGGGGGAAGAACCTTTACCTGATATGCAGCCTAAACCTCCTCTATGATGCCTATATAACTTGAGTTAAAGTTACAAGATATTTAYGTAGCTTGATTTRTAAAATATTTATGTAACTTAAATTACAGTATTTTGATATTCATATAATTTGATTTATAGTTTTTAAAATCTATATAACTTGAATTATATTTCGTTCTATAATAGCTAAATGTAATTAACTAGCTGTTTAATACTTAAGTAAGCAAAAACTCACTAGGCGGATAATGTTGAAAAATAGGTAAGCATAACTAACTGGAAAACAACAAGATGTACTAATAAAAAATTAGCAAATGTAAAGCCAATAGCCACAAGATAAAAAATTTAAACCAGTTAAATCCAGAAAGCCCAAGAAACACCATAAGCGTGCATGCTCCGAGAGAAAAGCTGAAAAGTTCAGATGCAAGGAAGACCTTGAGTTTTTATCAAAGAAGACCCCCGGGAACACTTACATTGAGGAAGCGCAAGCGCTTCAGAAAAGCGCATACCGAAAAGCTATTTATTCCCATGAAGTAACCTTATGTAACCATTGCAGATACTTTTTCAGATACTCAAACAGAGGCGGGTTTCCCAGGGTTTTCGAGCATGCAAACCACRGCGGGCAGGGACCCCCGCCCGATCGCCGCTAATCCCAGACCGCGCCCTCCGCCCCCGCCGCGGTCCCGTAGAGCGGCGTGCGTGGGAAACCGCGGGACAGATGGGGCGCCACAGATGAGGTGCAACTGGTAAGAGAAAATGCATACAGACTAAATCAGTACTTTCATTTGCCACATGAAAACAGTAGTTTGTATGGAAGGATCCTTGTTACTGTACAGGAATCCTAGATTTCCTACACCGTCAGCAGTATTAACCTCATTGCACTTCACAAGCATAGTAAGAAGTGAGCAATGTAAATCTGTGGTTTCAGACAATTCAAGGTAGTGAAACTTGAGTAATCCTGAAGAGAGTTTCATCTTCAAGAAAAAACATGGAACTATCCAGATGGTAATAACCATATGTGTAGGCACACAGGCTACAGTCCACCTAGCTGCATCCTAGACTTTACTGCAAGAAACACAAGCACATCTCTGTGCAAATACTTTATTCCCCACCTAATTTAGAAAAAAAAAAAAAAAAAGGAAAAAAAAAATCACAGAATAGATACTTTAATCAAGCTTCCTAGAAGAGGAACATAAGGACAGGTTAATTTAATCAAGCAAAGTCCTCAATAATAAATCTCAAGATAGGATGAATTGGCATCTTTCAAGAATTTCCTTTCTCCAAACATCTCTACTCTGGCCTCAATCAAATCTTGCTTCTTTCTTCTACCACCTGTTTTGACCACTGAGCAGCAAAATATCAGGCCCCACCAGCTGTTAAAGATGAGCCAACTAGCATCTCAACTCTGATCCAGTTTCCCTACATCCATCAAATGAAGGCTGTATAATTGCCAAATACCATTCAGGAAAACAAATAAAATATAACAAAACTCATAGGTAGAACAGCAGTCTGTCAGATGCCCAGATAAAGTACCCAGGCAGGACAAGAAAGCAATCAAAATGACTCAAATACTCTCCAGCTTTGTGGAGACTCCGGTTATTCCCCTTCATACAGCTGATGACTTTACAAACTTGTGGTGCACCTACCACCTCATTCCTCCATCCGATGTCATGCTCAAGTTACCCCTGAATAATTCTAGCAACAAAGTGCACCTGTACTGCCACTCCTGCTTAAAGCTGCGATTCCTATCCCCAAGCAAGACAGCTTGATGATGGTAATATTCTGGTCAGAGGCCAGCTGATCCACCTGTCTATACAGGTGACTATTAGCAGCAGCAAGAAAGAAGCACAGCAACTCGGACTACACTGACTCTAATACATCAGCACAGGATGCTCTTGCTTTCCTTATACCAAGGCTATTTTGTACATATATATGATCATCTCCATTGCTCTTCCTCCACCTCCGTGATTAGCCCAGAGTAGCGCATGCTAGCCAAGGGAGAGTGCGGAACTGCACTGAGCGCTGACATTTGGAAAATGCAAGGATTAATACACTGGCTTAATAAGCTATTTTATTCTGCATTCCATTTCTTAAGTGGAAATTTCTCCCATTCTATTTGTCTTTTTTTTCCTCGATACATCTTGAACTGAGAATTCAGAGTATCATGCCCAGTGACTCTCAGATGTTTTCTTTCCTGGATGCAGCAGAAAAGCATTAAAATACCATTGCTTTTATAATCCTAGAAACATAACATGCAATAAGAGCAGCTGAAGCTAAGCCTGAAAGATGTTTACTTTGCTATTAAACGATTTGCATAACAATCCTGACAAAACAGTAGCTTAGAAGAGCAAGGAAATACAGCAAAAAAAAATCGGCAAAGCACTTCACACAACAAAAAATATTCACTGACGCAAATATGGAGAAGGTAACATAGTTTCTAAAGTGACTAAACACTAATACTTTACTGTGGAACAGGGTAGAAGCCCTTTGTAAATTTCTTCTCAGTATCCTGAAGAGCAAACCTGGGAAGAAAAAAGAAACTTCCAGGTATCCATCAGTTTCAGGGTACAGAGTCAGCAGAGGTAAAAGCATTTATGGAAGCATTTGAGTTATTTTTCATTAAAAAAACCCCTCTTCTTGACTTCATAGTACAGAGACAGTTGTCAAACGATTTTGGTAAACCACGTAAGCTTTGCTTATTAAGTCTACATTATCCAGAGTTTTATTACTTTTTTCAGAGGGCCATCAGGTTACTTAAAAAAAAAAAAAAACCCTCTAATCTGATCCTGCTCTGTCTGCTGTGAAGAAACAGTATGTGAAGAACATAGGCTTATCACCAAGTCGGGTCARAATGTAGGTAATGACTGTTAGCTGTCACGCAGGTGTCAGCACGGCTTAAATATTTTCTTAGGGCATGGAGAAATCTTGTAAGTAGGCACAAGAAACTAGCAAGGAAAAAAAAACCTCAAGAGGAGCAACAGCTCTGCTCTCAGAGCTCAGATGGGGGAGGCCCGTGAAGCTTTTACCAGTTCGTTTGGGGCTCGCACGGGATCAAATCGGGATTTCACSCTGCCGCTAGCTCCCCGCAGCAAAAGTCACCCCGGACAGGTACGGCTCTCGAAAGCCCGCGGACTCCGAGAGACCGGCGCTGTGCGGGTGCGCACCAGCAGTTCTAAGGCTGAGCTCAACCTGAGGGCTTCACTCCAAAGCCCTCAGCTTTCTGTCACGAGCGACACAGCGGCGCTCCCGGTTCTCCACGCGGGAGGGGAACGGGCAGCACCGAAGGACGGCGGGCACAAACCAGCACTAGGCCGCCCCTCCGCGAAGAGACCCCCGTGCTCCCTCTGCGCCCTCAGTCCGGCCAGGCCGAGCACAACTCCACGCCCGCAGCCCAACCCACTTCCCCGCACCGGCACGGCCGAGGCTGCTCGGCTCGGCTCGGCTCGGCTCGGCTCGGCTCGGCTCGGCTCGGCTCGGCTCGGCTCGGCTCGGCTCGGCTCGGCTCGGCTCGGCTCGGCTCGGCTCGGCTCGGCTCGGCTCGGCTCGGCTCGGCTCGGCTCGGCTCGGCGCGGCTCGGCTCGGCTCGGCGCGGCTCGGCTCGGCTCGGCTCGGCTCGGCTCGGCACGATGCACGGCGCAGCTCGGCTTGGCTCGGCTCGGCTCGGCTCGGCACGATGCACGGCGCAGCCCCCCACCCGCCGCCTCAGCCCCTGCCGAGACACGTCACTTCCAGCCCTGCCCCGCCCGCGGTTTCTACAACTTCTCATGCTTTGAAATCTAAAACTACATCCCGACACATTTGGCAACGTGGAAYTTGGGAAGTTTCTGCAGCTACCCTTTGTAATCCAGTTACTGTCATCTCTAAATTGATTTCCTGGATTCCACAAATTAGGGACGTGAGAGGACACGGGACACGCTACAAATGTGTTCTGATTTTCAAAGCCATTACAGGCACAACTGAAAAGCCACATCTAAAAATAAAAGCTTCTTGCTATACTATGTAACAATACAATCCTATGAAATACTGGCATGCACTTGGTTCTGAATGTTCGCACCTGCTCAGCTGGGCTGCCCCAGAATAAGAATCTATGGAAACAGTAGACAGATGCATGGAATTAGCTCCCAGCTAATAAACCATGCAAACAATCAAAGGTAAATGTGATGTTACCACAGAAGCTTTTAGGCAGGCTGTAGTTTGGTTTTATTCACATTATCTCCTTTGATACCCTGATTAAAGTTTTCTAGTTTATTTTGGCACTCTAAGTTTGTAATGAGGAGGAGCAACAAAATTGCAATGCGCAATATAGGTACAAAAGCCACAAATACATTTTATTAAAAGTAGGCTCTGACATTGCTGCCGCTTAATATTGATTCCGTTGGAGTACTTGGCATGACATGGAGCAGATTTTTCCATCATCTGAAGAATTTAAGATGAATAATAAATCATTTGCTAATAACCTGTATTTTCATCCAACAGCTTCCTGGAACAATTGAGCCAATTTTGTGTTATGGTATGGGGCATGGGACATGATAATCAAAACAACTTTAACTTCAAAACCAATAAACTTCTATCTTGGTCCGAGAGTCAGAGGTAAGGTATTGCAGCAAGCTTCAGTCTCATAATATATCTACAAATTTTCCTAAAATAATCAATTTTTTAATTTTTGACCCATTCAAAACTCTCTCTGATGTGCCACTAGAATTTTAGCAGTTATCATTTTCAGTTCAGTCCCTAATTGGAGCCAAGAGAGAATGTTTCTTATCTAGGAAAATCTATATTCAGGTCCGCTTCTTATGGGGGAGAAAGAAATCAGGAAGGAAGATGTTTTGACAAACCACTAACATTCAATTGTATTTCAGAGTATGTATCATTTACAATTACTTTGCTTTGTGCAACACTATTGCTAATGCAAACAGTGATTAAACTGTGAAAATCTCAATCGAATATCTGCATTTGAAAAGACACAGAAAAGTAAGATTCAAAAAGTGCCACAAAAGCACAGTTGTCATCCAACAGGGATGGGTTGACTGGCACACGTCCACCATAATATAAGAATTCAGACCACCTGGGAGGGCTCCTGTATTTTAAATGTTCAGTTAGTTCCATATAGAAAAATCAAGCACTTCTCTGACAGGGAGCTAACCGAAAGCAGCTYCGAAATGCTTTGATTGAACTTTGCTCCTCTCTCCATACTCCTCGGTTTAGAGAGCATTCTTGGTTTCTGGGAACATGGACTAATCATTTCAATATCCTCCTTGTCCCAGTGTCTCAAGTGTTTCACCGGAATGATCGCAAATGGTACACACAGAGAATAGAGGGTACAAGAAGACACAGGACAGAAACTGTCTGCATGGCTCAGTCCAAGAACAGAAGGCACATAGGTATCATAGAGACAGTATAAAAACCTGAAGACAAAAGCCCATCATCTGGATCATATCCTGAATGTACCAACTCATTTAATGAACTTTACACCCATCTATTTTCCAGGTTCCATCTATTTTCAGAAGCAGAAAATACTAGACATTATTAGAATCAACAAAAAATAGCCAGCCAGATCACCTCTGTAACTTCTTTCTACATTCAGTGCTACTCTGAAGGGGAAAAAGATGTCAAATGGGAGTTTCCAGTACATTTGGGGCTGGCCTCGTGGAGGTTCCGGCCAATCCGTCATGTCAGTGAAGGTAACAACAGTTGTCACGGGTACCGTGCTCGTGTTTAGAAACTGCAAAAAAGAGGGAAGCAAAAGAGTTTAGCAGTCCTAACACAAAAGATATATCCCTCCTCAATTTTCTAATGGGGACTCACTGCAGATGACCAACAAGCAGGATGTCTTTAGGATGGTACAAGTTAGGTATCCTAAATTTTCAGAGGAGTAACCCCTCTTTCTGAAAACTGATACTTAGCAGGTAAATTGAGTGCCTAGTAAAGATCAGTAGCCACCGTGCATCTTGCTCTCCATGCCAGATCAGTCCTTGGTCACAACTTACCGCTGCTGAGCAGTTACAATTAACTGTTACAGTTAACTGCTGAGCAGTTACAATTAGAATTTCCCCATCACATCTGATGGATAGAAGTTCTCCTATCAATGAATAAACACATCATAGGCCAAGTCACCCTAGGCAACAAGAAGCCTCAAGATGACTGATTTAGTTTCTGGACCTTCAAAAACTGCCTTAAAATCAGAGATTAGTGCAGGGGAAAAAAACCCATACACAACCTCTTCCGAGCAGCTGAGAGAAGGCAACTGCAAGCAACTTCCAGCATGYTCTTGTAGAGCTATACATCATTTGAAAATGTCCTGTATTTTCAGGAAGTCCAAATACAACTGTGGCTAGATACTGGGATGGGTGTGGAAATCAGGATGTCTTCTTTGGGTTCTCTGTTTTCTGATCAGTTACTTAGGCAAATCTCCAATGATGCAGTGTGTTCTAAATAAAAGGTTTCTCTAAAAAATAATTAAAGGAACTAGAGGATAGTTCTCAGAGAATCCGTGGACTAAAGCTGGGAAGTAACATAATTTGAAAGTCATGTGCAGCCTTGTATGCTTAGGAGTAGCTGCAATTCTTAACTGCTGGCTATAGAGCAGCTTGTTCCTGTGCAAAAATATCTTCACTAACAATCCTAATTTGAGTATTGCCACTGATGAAGTCAGTACCTATTTTAATGTCATGGGGTTTTTTTACTGCCAGAAACTTGCTTTCTTATAATTCGCTTTGGAATAAACCTTAAAGCTCTAAAGTAATTAGCATCTGTTGCTCAAGCAAAACAAAATCTGATAGTCATTTTTCTGGATTAGCTAATCCTTACTGAGGGATTTGCACCCTGCACTTTTACTAGGAATGCAAGTCTTGTTCCTCAAATGGAAATTTTGTTAATGAAGCAGTGAAACAGCTGATTTTTTAAGTATTTTCATGGGATGAGGGTGTCAGTTTGCCTCAAGGCAATACGAGATTTACACGGTTAACATTTTCCTATCCTCTGCCTTTGTTTTGCAAGAAGGGAGGACAAAGAGGTACCACGAGACAAATTCAAACAAGTGATGTAAAACCTCATTTAGACTGCGTCTGAAGTTCAAAGTCTGTTAACAGATCAGGTAGATATTTTTCATGTCATACCGCACAGCCATGAAAATGCCCAGATTGGTGTCAGATGCTCCCCCTAACACCCTTACAGAGAAGTGTAAGCCTTGAAATCTTGAAATATATCTGCTGCCCAAGGACTATGTGATGTTAAGAAAAAAAAAAAAAAAAAAAAAAAAAAAAAAAGGGGGATCCACGGCCATGTGCCTGAAAAAGACTACTTATTGTCCTCTGTGGACATGTTAGCTGACACATTCCCGCTGAGATCACRGATTCATAGAAYGGTCTGGGTTGGAAAGGACCTTCAAAGGTCACCTAGCTCAAGCCCTCTGCCATGAGCAAAGATCCAGACCAGTTCAACTAGACCAGTTATTCAGAATTCCATCCAGCCTGGCCTCACGTACACTCTTTCTGGCTTACAGCCTCCTTCCCCAATTCTTCAAATATACTGCCATCAGAATTAGTCACTTCCTCCAGTACCTGGTGGTGATATCAGAAGCTCTAGAGGAACAGAAACATCTTCTTGCACAGACTATCAGCATTCTGTGGAATCTATGCAATATTAATCGATGCAAATTTCATATCAAGGTATTAAGAGATAACTAAATAAACATGGAGTTACTGAATGTTTGTAACTACAACTTTATACGAACTATAACTGAAAGTTTAAAGATTGAGTCCTTATGCGGCAGGATTAGGTTTTAGGATAGGAAAGAAGTTACCTTTTCCAGTCATGCAACTGAGTGAGGACAGTACCAAAAAGACCATAAAACAACCTTCCTCTATGGAAGGCTGCCACTGCAGCCASACAACTGCTAAAATTCAATAAAACTCAACTTACTTAGTTTAAAGACTATTTTATTCCTTCCTTAAACAAYCTGCAAACCCCATTAAATTACCTCTGCATGTGAGGGAGGGGTTTTGATTCCATACCTTGAGAGGCTGACACTGGTAAAAGTACCGTGCACCCAGTATTTGAGATTGTGGGTTGGACAGGAGGCCCACTTTAGTCCACAATATCTGTATCTCCAGGGTCACAGGAACCATACAGGAACAGGAAGTGCAATTCACAGCCTGAAAATAAAATGTACCTGAATCAACTTAATACAGGCTTTTAAAAGTGACAAAGGACCATTATGGTCAAAATCTAATGTTTTGGAAAATATAGGTCACATAACTTGAATCCATCGTTTCAGCATTAAGTCCGTAACTTCTGGTCAGGTCAACCACACGTTTTGGAGATATATCCATCTCACTGTCATCTCATTTCCAATTAGAATTTGTCTCAGCGTTACGACTTGGATTTCACATTCCACTCAACCATCTTCTCGCAGACTAACAACTATTACAACACAATTGTGTCACAAACTCCTAACCCTATTAGCTAATATAGTAGGATATAAATATCCCTATGAAAATAATATAATATAAAGGAAAGCATTATAACAAAAATCAATAGGAAGCGATCAGCTACTATTAGTTCCAAAAGGCAATCAGAAAACTATGTAATACAAACACTGGATWCTGTATGAAACTGTTTTTACCCATTTCAGTACCTGGAACAGGATACAAGAGATGGGCAATCTGTCAGGGTTTGGTGGGTTTTTTTTTTTTTGCTGTTTTGGGGTTTTTTTTTATTTATTTTGGGTTTGTTGTTGTTGTTATGGGGTTTTGTTTGTGGTTTTTGTGGTTTTTTGTTTGGGTTTTGTTTGTTTGTTTGGTTTTGGTTTTTTTTTTTTGGTTTGGTTTTGTTTAGGGTTGTTCGTTTAGTTTTGTTTTGATATGAACCATAGTAAGAATGAGGGCTTACAGATATTGAGACCCCTGAGAGTCACAGGATCATTACACAAGGAAAGCCCAGATACTCCCACCTCCCTGAGACAATATAAAGATATAAAAGAAAAAATATTTACAGATGGTCTTTTTGCATGCATATTACCTGCACACTGCATTTCTGAATCAAAATGGTCATCCACTCTTCTGCCTGAGTTGAATGAGCACTGCCAGTTATAGCAAGGTCCTCTGCTCCGTTCATCCCCTGAAAAGCCTTGTATAACTTCTGCTGCATAGAACTACACTTACCATCTTCCAGTACTGGGGATAGGCTGGAAATGAGAAAAGAWTAGCTTTTACAAAGTGATTTCCAGGAAAAAAAAAACAACCCCAAAYCCCTATTAACATCCTTTCTTTGCAATAGGTATTTCCTCTGCTCTTATAATGAGTCAACAAGTATTGGTATTACACAGTGCAGTGAGAAAGGTGAAAGGAGAAAAATATGGCGGGGTAATGCATGATAATGAAAACTGACAGCTCTTGAGCCACCTTACCCCATCAGTGGTCCCACACCTGACCTGACACCTGTCAAAAGAACAATCGGAATCACCAAAACAACTGTTTTTCAAGATTCACTCCTCAGCTCTAGTCTTGCCCAAGACATATTGCCAGACCACAGCCCCAAAATGTCCCAGAAGACCTTCACAATGTTCAGATTACTCTAGCGGGTCCACCCTCTTTCCGATATTCACGCTGTCTTAGGAGTATACGAATGATCTGTAGAGACCCATCGGTGACCTCAGGGAAGGACCTGAGCTCCACAGCACTACATGAGACAGAGACTATGGAAAAACTTGCTGAGTCCATGGCTTCCGATCATCAGGAAGGACGACTGCAGAGCGTTGTTACCTGATTTTGCAGCCTGTTCTCATATTCCTTCCAAATTGTACCGTGTGTCTGAAGAATTGTGAGCAACTTCCATCACTTTCACTCCATAGTATGCTCATCTGCCACACTGCACATCAAGAAGCCAAACAAAAGTATATATAGACAACACACAACACTCATATTTAACAATCCACTCACTCCATATTCCTCCTTATCCCTTTCAGGGGACTGTAAAAGTCCAGACAATGGAGTACCAGAAACAAAAAAATACAGAAAAAAAAACCTCATAGCAGAAAAAGGATACATGCTGCATGGCACCGCTGTTTGCAATCAACAGTGGTGCTCCAGTGATATAGCCAGGGTTTCCACTTCTAGGCAACCTATGAGAAAGACTCCTGGTCTACAAAGATGCGAAGGGAAGAAATAGAAGAAGATGAACATACTAGATCAAATGCACATTCTCAAAGGTTTTGGTTTTTTGGTTGTTTTTTTTTTAAACTATTATACACTACTTAAACTCCCATTATTTGTTTCCAAGGCCTCTTTGACCTTGACCAATTTAACTTGCGGTCCCAGGAGGTAAAACACTAAATGTCAGTACCCTGAAATATGGATACTACAAGGAAAGCTCTCAATACAATGAATTCCCACTGCTCAACATTTGTCTCTGAAGAAGTGAACAGATCGGTTTGGGCAGTTCTACAGAACTGCAGAACAAACCCTGCTTTGACCCTGATTCTTAGTGGCATATTCCAATTCTAAACGGCTGTTCGGCAAGAGTTTGTGAGGGTAACTTCAACAAGGTTGCACTGCACACTTACCAACCCCTGAGGTCCCAACTTCTCCAAATTTACATTGCCTCTATGGGACATGATTTATGTGAACATAACACACATTAGTATTTCCCGGATTTCTACCCCTCTCCAAAGTAAATGCTGCTGCACGTGCAGAGTTAAGTAGCCAGAATAAATTTAGCAGCTTTGCTCATGAAGATAGAACACGTCAGATACAGTACTAGCTTCAACCCTTTCCTTCACAAAGCCATGCTGGTGAGTTATCTCTTCCTATTCCCTTCTACCCCAACAGGAAAAAAAGGAAACCAAAACAAAATGAACAAACAAAAAAATGCACAAAAAAAACCCCAAAAAACCAAAACCAACGAAACCTCAAACCAAATCCCAAAAAACAAACCAAAATCAAAGCCAAAAAATAAACCCACAGCAAAAAAAAAAAAACCAACAAAGAAATCCCACCTTCCCCAAAACCCCAAACAAACAAAAAACTTCAAACCAAACCAAGAGCAAAAATAGTCATATGAAAATAATCAGCTCCTTGAAATTCGTGCAATTCAAGACTGCAAGTTTGTGCTGAGCCTTACACTTTCTACTAGTGTGGTTTACTTGAGACCAGAAATGCCTCCCCTCCTGCCTTCAACCACCATCTGCATCCCGGAGTTCTGTTACTAATATACCACAGTGAAACGGCTCCAATCTTTTCAGGTCACATCTGTACAAAAATGAGTCACCAACTATAGACAACAAGTTTGGTAAAATTCCTGGRAGGATGGGTATACTGACCCAGAAGTGCATGGTGAAGTGCTGCTGCAGAGAGGATGTGGAGTTCCCAGAGATGTTGCTCACTTTGAACCGGACAGAAACACTCTGAATCCCACTTGTGCCACTGTATTCTATCTCATAGATCACCTGAAAGTCCAATTTAGGGAACTGTAGATGGAGTAGGGTAATAGGGCAATGACTTTACGCTCGTATTAAGCTGCTATAAGAGGAAAGAAGAKACACGTACCTCAGAGACAACATTAGTGCATATATTGTCTTTCATGTGGGGAGCTCCAGGTGGTGAGACTGCAGTGATATTTACCTGGATAGAGTAAGCATATTAACAATTAGTAATTGTTTAAAGGGCGTGTGTATTTTTTACTCTTTTTCACCTGTTCGCCATCCRAGTCAGATTTACCTCCATGCTGTAGTTGTGGTTTAGGAGCACATCATCCTGCTCCAAATCCCCAATCTTTTTCCAAGAAAATAAACTACCTCCCTGACTTTAGTCTTATCTATTCATGCCCATTAACTTAAAAATACACTCTTACTTATATCCTTTTTTTTTCCATGTCATACTTCTGTCAGGAAAAATCTTGCCTCAGACAGCACAATCCCATTTTCCCCTCAGAAGCAGGAATTCTTTACATTGGCTCAGAGACTGACCTTCATGGACTGCACAACTATGTCATTAACTGGAACCTGGGGAAAATAAACAAACCATTTTACAATACCAATAAAAAGCTAAGTGAATTGCTCTGTTTGCAAGTGACTAAAGCCATAAAACCATCACAAAAGAGCCTGCACATTATATTGACAAAATTACTTCGTTTATTCCAGATGTGTAAATTGATATCATTTTGTAATCTATAGATCAAACATAATCCACAAAAGGCATTTTAAAGCATCAAAAGACAAATTTAAGTTTGGCCCTGCTAATGTCCTACAGAATGCAGATACTTTTAAGTATCACATCTCTGATCCACTCCGGAAACTCCTTCTTCTGCAATCAAGTAATTACTTCAGCGCCCAGTTAAGAAAAAACTGAATCATCTCTCATTTTTGGAACACCAGAGCAATTCTACAAGGTGAGAGCAGACACTTTCGTATAAACATTCCGTAAGATCAGCAGGAAGAATGCAGAACAGTAAACTGAAATTATTGTCAGGATAAATAGTAGAGAAATTGATATGGATGCAAACAGAGTGAATATTAATATGGGACCTTCAGAATGATTTTAGAGATAACACTTTTATGTAAAAAAAAAAAAAATCCCAATTCTTTACTGAGAACATATACTGCTTGGTCGATCAAGCTGATGGAACAGATAAGAACACTTCGATGAATGGTCTGTTCAAAATCTGAGAAAGTTTCAGATAAACCAATAGAATATGAAGTACCAATGAAATACCTGTTAAATACAATAAGAATTTGATAACAACTGAAATTTACTGGAAAGCAGTTTGAATTGAAGGATTATAAGCAATCATTACATTTTAACAATGCTTCCCAGCATTGCTTTCCAATCATTACATTTTAACAGGCTTCCCAGCAAGAAAGTCTCAACTATTGGGAGATCAGGGATGATATACCAAATGTTCTTTAGTTTAACAGTTAGCTGAAGTCTCGGTAGAAGGCAATGCAAAGTCAAACAACTAAGATTTTGAACAAAAGCAAGGAATATGAAATGCACCTTTAGCACAGTGAAGCCACGGTAGTAAGAAGCAGCATCTAAGACGGGGTCAGTCACGCAGCTCTTGCTCAAGTCAGCAAAAATCCGAATACAGCTTGTGCTTTTACTGTCCAGGAAGCCTGGGTGAGTTAAGACATGACAACAGATAAAACAGAAGCAAATCACCCTAAGATATTCTTCCCSCTTTACTAACCAGCAGGATTTCCATCGACGCAAAGTCCACTGGCTCCCATTTTCACCGGCTGTCTAAGCATGCTCAATACAGATGATGACTCAAAGTAGATGAGGATTGGATCACCGGCCTGAAAAGACAGTTTGGGGAAATCACAAAGTGGATATACTAAAGTCAAGGGCAAGAGACAAATCTATATTTCTTTGTGCACATACAGTTTTGTCTAAAAGGTTGTCCAACCTCTTAAATACAAGGAAACTGACCAGGAACTTTTTATATGCTAAGGAATGAAAATTACTGAGAGACTAACAGTTCGATAAGGTGCTCTGGTAACCGGGAGGGTCATCTGTGTCCCAGGGCCATCTGTGCCTACTAGACGGAGGCTGTTGTTCCACTTTGCTCTGCACACTTGTATGGCCTCCCCTTGAGCCCCGAGGGTACTTTTGGGTGCCACAACATATGACATAAAGCCACTGAAGAGCATCCAAAAGAGGGTTACAAAGATGGTGAAGAGTCTCCAGGGGAAACGGTACAAGGAATGCCTGAAGTCACTTAGCTTGTTCAGGCTAGAGAAGACCAAGGGGAGACTTCATTGCACTCTGCAGCTTCCTCCTGAGGGACAGCAGAGGGGCAGATGCTTATCTCTGCTCTCTGTGACCAAGACGGGACCCGAGGAAATCACTGGAAGTGTGTCAGGGCTTAGACCGGATATCAGGCAAAGGCTTTTCTCCCAGAGGGTGGTCAGGCACTGAACGGGCTCCTCGGGGAATGGTCATAGCTGACAGAGCCGAAGAAGCATTTGGACAATGCTGTTTGGAGGGTGGAATTGTTGGGGCATCCTGTGCAAGGCCAGCGGTCGGACTTGATTATCCTTGCAGGTCCCACCGAACTCAGGATATGCTATGACTCTATGATAATATGGCTTCTAGGTACAAAATAAGAATTTTTCCATCTACTGCTATTAAATATCATTACAGACAGTTTTAGTAAAAGTGTACGTGCAAATACATTGCTATTTTCTTTCAACTCACACGGTAAAAAGCGGAGAACGAAGGCTGGACTTGCAATGGTGCTAAGAAAGAATGTCTGCCATACTTCTCTAAGAACTTCACAAAATCAGATTCTTTGATATCCTGTGGCTGTTGAAAATAGTTCAGTTTTGCTAGAGTTTGAAAAGAGAAAAAAAGAAATCCACCTATATTACGTCACTAGAAAAGATAAAAGTAAACATTGCACCAATATTTTTAAAAGGAGTAACTTCAGTAATTACAAGCCAGCTGGTGCTTAATTAATCCACAGTAACATTTCTAATAGGCTAATATCATCTACAAACAGGATGATACTATAAGAACTAATTTGTATGGTGCACAGAAAAGAGATATGAATACACAAAGTGACTTTCCAAAAAGCATCAAAACTACTTGACAGGTATCTTAATATGTGCTGTAATTTCCATGAGATGCCAAATTAGACGTGCATGACATTTTAATTAGAAAGCACTACCCATTTTTGAGTTCACTAAAAGCAACATTAAATGGATTCAAAATAATTAAGGTTGATAACACTCAAGGTAAGTATAAATAGGCAAAAGGCATCCTAAAAAACCAGACTTGCTATTGGTATTCCACAGTGATGCCCTCCCGACCTGGAGGTATTCAATAGCATGGTATGGGAAAACCATAAAATTAGATTACAAGTGACAAGCTAAAATGACCAGGAGCCTGACAGCACTTTAAGCCATGGTTAAACCCTCATCTAAATTAATTTTTACTGTGAGACCTACTGAAAACTGGAATGGGTAAAGTTCTAGGGCTACTACCTATTATACTACATGTTATGAGGCTCTCATAATATCTTTGTTCTTCCCTGTACGCAAAACACTCAGGCAACATCCGTAAAGACCTGAAAGCAGGCAGGACAAGATAATAAAAAGCTAACCTTGTTTTGACTAGCTGTTGTACCTGTTAACCTCCTGAGCCCCTTCCAACCTAAAATACTGAAAGAATTAGGTCAGAAGCAGATGGAACTGTGGGTCATAACTCCCAGACAAATAACTCAAAAGAGTAAATGGTACATGTTCAAATGTGAGACCACAGCAATTGCACTGAATGCCAGGAACTGGACATTGAATCACACAAATGAAATACAACGTGGAAAGCAGAAAGAGAAAAGAGTGGCATATCCTACAAGGATATATGATAACAGGTRAAAAAAATCATCGCCAGCAGAGAAGAAATGATGATATAACAAAGAATCCAAGACACAGTAAGGAAACGCTTTCTGAAAACTATCATAGAGGGATGCTTCAAACATCAACCCTTATCTGCTGCTTTTTGTGCAGCAAACCATGTAAGGTGTCTCAGATACATAAGCAATTGATAGATTTTAAACTGATTTGTGCTCAGCCAGAGACCCTACCCTTAAACAGAGTACAAAAATCTTTTTTTTTTGTTTCGTCTTTGGTGATCAAGCCCTGATTCACTATGGTCTCTCTGGAACTCTAACAGCCAAAATAATTAGCACAATTATAACATGAAGCTCAAAAAATATTCCTTAAGCAGAGGCAATCTATCAACAAAATGTGTGAAAAGGAAGATTACTTACGGTCATCCAGCCGCACACAGAACAGCAAATCACGTCCACCGGGATCAGAAATGATGTCTGTAGGATAAGGGGTGTTACTTCTGAAAATGAGTGACTTTTTCACACATGCTTGACTCACAGACCTGTAAAGATAAGCCCCCCCACACCCAGCAAACTGTAAAATGGACTACATTCGCATAATTCTGTATTTTACATTATATAATGCCAGCAATATGACACGGTATTATTATTCATCAGTTTAGATGAGCTATTGTACAATCTGCATTGATAATCAATTACAGAAAGCCTCTCTTGTCATTGCAGTAATTTTGTAAATACCCTATTAGTGTAGTTAGAAATCACTCTGAAATTCTCTGGAAGAAAAAGTGAAAAAAGAAAAAAAAAATCAGCGCCTACATGTTATACTCCTCTCGGTCCTCATCCCAAAGCCAATCTTCAAAGGCAGATTTTACACTCTAATAGCTGAGACTGTGCTCCTCACTGACAGCATCTCGCAGTCTGTATTTGCTTGACCGTTTCCCCATAGCACACCGAAGTTCTTTTTTCTTAAACCCAGACTTCCCAGTTGCCACCGCCAGCCGTTTCATCGGCATAAACAAGCCTCGCTTAATCTCACCCACTGTGTCGTCGGCCCCGKGAAGCCTTTCCCAGTCCCCAAAGCGGCGCTAAGCTGTCTCTGTGCCCAGGGAGGCGGCAACACCGCAGCGAAACCCCGTCGGCCGAGCAGCGGTTCCCGCCGGGGCCCGGAGCGCTGCCGGCGCCAGCCCTGTCTCCTGGCCCGCCTCGGCCCGGGCTGGCGCCAGCAGCGGCACAAACCCATCCCCTGCCCACCTGCTGCTGCCGCCGGAGGGACGGGACGGGCCCGCGGGGCCGAGGGCGGACAGCGACGGCAGCAGCACCATCGGCAGCACCGCCGGCAGCACCGCCGGCAGCACCATCGGCAGCACCATCGGCAGCAGCACCATCGGCAGCAGCACCGGCAGCAGCACCGGCAGCGCCCCACAAGAGCGCATCGCCCCGAGCCACGCTGAGGGAAGGCCGGAGCCACGGCGCGTGCGCGGCGGCGGGGGCGGGGCGGGGAGACGCTCTTCTATRACAGCATGCTTAAAAGAGTTTATTTCAGGTAACTGTAGGGAACTATACGTTAAAAGTTACTAGAAATTATCTAATATTAATGAGTTCATATTATGGCATATTGATTGCGTTAAGAGCAATTGTGTCTACATTCAACATGAGCTATCCTATTCTGCTATCTTTTAATGATATCAGTTAAGTCACTAAGTAAACATTGCTTTGCATTACGAATACATAACTTGGTCTGCAGAGCTGCCTAGGTAAAAACACAGAGTTGCACTAATTCTAGACTTTATATCACAAGCATTTCCACACGGTGGGCCAGATGGGAGAAGATTCTTAATTTTGACATCATGAAAATTTTTCTCAGACAAATACCACAACTTGGTTAAAACCCCACACAGGCAAGTCCTGGGTTAGTTGGTTTTTAGACTTGTACTTTTTTATTAAAAATATGTTTGACAGTATTTTTTGTGAGGTCTCTTTTCTGAATCTGACGGACACAATATAATATAGATTGAAAAGTTTGCATGTATTCAAGGAGTCAAATAAAGCAAATTTGAGAGAAAGCACATCCAAGATTATTAAAAATGCAGATACTGTAAGAGAGCCTGGACCCGGTTGCTGGTTTTGAGCTGTCGGAAGCCTCGGTGATTCTTTACTGCAGAAATACCGCAATAGCGTGTTCTAAACTCTTTGTTAGCCTTCTACTGCTCATTTCTATCTCTAGCTCACTGGCTAGGCCTTTGTTCTGATCCAGCTCCATTGCTATGTTCAACATGTACTAGATTTTCATCAGATGCTGAGATAGAGAAGAGATACATTAAGCCTTTTTTTTTTTTTTTTTTTTTTTTTTTTTTTTGCAAGTAATGACAGCACAAACAACAGAGGCATTGTGTCATTGGATACTTATCATTTGATGTCTTTTGTTCTATATAAAATATACCCACTCCTCAGTAGATTAACTGCTTCAGTGATTTGGTTATAAGTGCCTTCGAGGAACAAATACTAAAAACTTTAATCAGAACAGATTTATTTAAGCTCTTATCAGAGAATTGATAACGGAAGCTGATTAATAATACAAGTAATATATTCATGATCAGTTTTGAAACAAAAATAATGAGACACATCATGTCTATAGATGATACTTCCAGTCTAAATCTCTTTGCACCTAGAAATTTTGTTTCTCCCCCTCATTGGTCTTGATGTGAATTCACAGCTCTACATTAGTATGCAGCTTGGGAATAAATGGAATGTATATGTCTAGTCTCCTGAGGGTCATATATGGATCCCACGGTACTTAATGAGAAGGGACAGCACCCACAGTACAAATAATGGAGTTTGCCTTAAGTTCCCTTAGCACAGAGCAGAAAGAAAGGAGCAACAGGTGAGAAAATGTTATGGAAAACCATCTTTATACTCTCTTACATGCTGAAAAAMCACACTACAGCAAGGCCCTCTGAGGACAAATGCATAACACGTGAAATGAGATATTTGAACCTGCAAACCAGAGCATGAAAGAAACTATAATAAGTATCATATAAGTAAAATTATATAGGTAATTATATCATTATAAATAATTATATATTATATATATAAGTAATTATAATAAAAAAGCATATGGAGCAAACCAATAGTTCCTTTGACATTTATACTATTCTCATTAGAGAGTATTTGGTCTGTAGTATTTCTCATTTTCTCTAGACTAACCTTACCTGTAGGAGGGCTGGAATTGGGTGTGTTATCTAGTACCTCCTCTATTCAAGGAAAATAAAAAAAAAAAACTATGAAAGGCAACTAGACTGTGATGTAATCTTCCCGGCACATTTTCTTTCGCTCATTTACAGATGTTCTATGTCGAAAATTTTTACTATGTCGGTTAACATGACTACTTTAATCTCTTTATTTGTACAGACAGGTGGCTTTAGTGGCAAAAACTTTAACAAAAGCTACCAGCAATTCGCCACTGTTTTCTATTTATGAAGTACCAAGACATCGTTAAGTCTTGTTGGGTAACAACTGGGATGATGAATATCTATTCTTTAGTTTCCAGATTTCAGTATTGATCATTCTTTATTGGATTACAATTTAAGAAAAGTTAGAAAGCTTAGTGAAGTGATATGTGACCATTGCCCAAATCTACACGCTTTTTTTTTTTTAAATCAATTCCTTGATTTAATTCCTTTCAGTAAATTTAAAAATTAATTCAAATGGTTGACTTTTGTTTTCTCTTTTTCTTTCTTTTCTTTCTGAAGGTTTAGGTGCCCTCACCTATGATTTCTTCCTGTACGGGCAGATACGAGCCAAATGTTTATAGKCATTTTACTCTACTTTAGTTCACAGTTTCAGCCTGTGGTGGCGTACGCTTTATTTCAAAAGGTTTCATGTTAGATGCTCTGAAGACGGGGACAAAAATTGCTGGTGACACCATTTCTTAGCATTACTTTCTAATGCAGGAAGGCGTCAAYCGCTGTCTATTTCAGCCCGCGAGCGCGTGGCCGCTCTCGGTGCCGCCCATCGCCGCGACGGTTCCCCCCCAGCGCCCGGGCCGAGAGCGCAGCGGCACCGCGAGAGGCCCGAGGCCGAGACCACAGGAGCGAGCGAGGGAGGGAAGGAAGGCGGGTCCGCTGTGGGAACGCTGCTGGGATACGCGCTGGTGTTGTGGGAACGCGGAGCGGCGGAGGGGCGCCTGCGGGTGTGGGGCGGGCGGCTCTCCCGGCGGCTCCCCTCTCCCGGCGGCTCCCCTCTCCCGGCGGCTCCCC